GAGTCTCTAGGAGAGCTCTGTAACCTGATGTTTTAGAGGCAAAGCTGGGAGCGTGGCGGTGAAAGTCAGGTATGACTCTGCGGAGCCTGGGGACGTAAGGGACGGGAGAGGAGAAAGACAGGGACCAGTTTATTGGCTTACCTAACCGAAGATAAAACTTCACAACCCCCACGTGCGGTGATTTCGTGTTTGGGTGTGTGAGACCTGTCCAATTCCGGAGTAGTTCAGAGAGAGCAAGAGCAGGGTCTGACTACCACTCAGTGGGTTCCCAGATTCCGGGTGGGGCAGGGGCAGGGGCAGGCTCAGTTTGCATATTCCTGCTCTTATAGGTAGAGATCACTGTGTAGGAGTTATGTGCATAAAGCTGCGCCTTTCCTGGTTACAGGAACATCATTGGCCCTACCAGAGCCTGCAAAAGGTAATATTAAACCATTCAAAGGGATCTAGGAGGAAAGCATTTCTAGAGAAACTGCTATGTTCTCTTCTTAGTGTATTTTCACAATAATCTGAAGTTAAGTGTTCTCTCCATTTTGCATATGAACTGAAGCTGAGAGGGGTTATTTGCTTTAGACTGACAGCTTAGAAAGTGGAAGAGCTGAGATTCAAACCCAGATGAGTTTTCTCCAAATTATCTTCCTTCTCTTTCTCCTCTTCCTCCTCCTCTTCTTCTTTTGAGTATAGTTGACCCACAATATTACATTAGTTTCAGATGTACAACTTAGTGATTTGACAAGTTTATACATTATGCTATGTTCACCACAAGTGTAGTTACCATCTGTACCCCTTAAATGACTATTACAGTATCATTGACTATTCCTTATGCTGTGCTCCAAATTTTTTTCTTTTTTTGCAAGATAGCATCCTGCGAAAAAAAAGAGTTGGATTTATTCTCCTCTTGAAATATTTGAGCAATGAATTCTAAGTAAATTTCGATTTGTAGTCTTCTTTTTTTTTTAAAGGGTCTCTGTTGAATCTGCAGATTTTCCAGGGAACACTATGTAAATAAACCTGTGAGTCCCTTTTGCATATTTTAGCCTTTCTATGGCCCCAGCTTTGCTGGTTGGGATGTTGAAAAACCGATACTAGGCTCATAGGAGATGGTGACTTTCCAGAGAAAGAGGGAGAGAGAGAGAGATTGATTTAGAGTTTAAACTGAAGGGGCTCCAGCTTGGAAAAAAAAAATTCCTGGGTCCAGCCTTCTCAAGAAAACCCAACCTAATTTGAGCTCTCTTATCCCAGCTTCGAGCAGAGACTTCAAGAGATACCGAATTTCAGAGACCAGGCTTTTAGTTAGTCTTTTGATTCATTTATTTTTATTTTCTTAGGATAAATTTTGGGAGGAAAAAATGTCACTGGTTCAAAGATTAACAACTTGCTATTAGATCAGCAGGACAGAAGTGTACAACATATTTATCTAACCTTCCTATATTCATACCAAAACCACCAGTAGAGTTTGGTGCTTATAAAATATGGACTTTTCTGACATCTCCTAGAATCATCATTCTCCCACTAGGTGACATTTACTGAAGCTGCAATGTGGGTTGTTCTTTTCTGATAGTGCTTCTTTTCTTTTCTACATTGCTTCCTAGTTTTTCATGCCTTTCTATTCTTTTTTTCCTATTTTTATATTCATAGATCTCTGTGTAAGAGCTGCAGAAAATGATCAACTTGCAGGTAAGGTATCCATTTATTCAGTCACTTAAATCTCTCAAAAAACCATATAAAAAGGAAATGTATAAACAGGGAAAATGTGGATTGGATAGATCAAGTCCAAAAGAAAATTTAGAAAATTGATAAGTTGATATCCAGGTCACAGGGTCTGCACATAGTTGGAATAAATTTGAGCTGCATGTGTATACCCAGTCTTTATACAATCAAAATGCATAGCCAACCAGTTAAAGTATTGGTATTATCTGTAATGATGAAGCTAAATAATTCCTCAGATAAGTAAAGATATTCCTGATTCAGTTCTCTGGAAAAAAAAATCTTATAATGGGTTTTCATAGAGATAATGTTAGAAATAACATTCATAGCAACAACCCTGTGATAAATATAATGTCACATTTCCCGTGACTTTCTTAAGAGTGTTTCCCAGAGTAAGCAGAGAACATAGTGCCAATAAGCAGCACTACATGAACTCAATTTGTAAGTTCAGTTACATAGCCTTTCTAATATTCTTCTGGAACCATAAGTAAATCTTGTACCTTTTCCCAGAGTCTTCTGGTATTCTTGAGCATTTTCTCTTCCGTGTGAATTTTAAAATCAGTGTGTCAGCCTCTATAAAGGAATATATTAGGTGTTCTAATTGTGATTGCAGTATACTTTTAGATTGATTTGTAGAGAATTCATAACTTTTCAATAATGTATTCTCCATTCAATTTTTCTTATAGGTCCTTATTTACATTTTTATAGGTTTATTATTATAATTCTTGTACATTTCTTGTAATGTTTATTCTTATGGTTTAGATTGCTGTTGAGAATGGATGGATCTCTTTTCATTATATTTTCTAATCGGCTATTTTGGTGTATAGGAAAATATGCGTTTATCTATTTGACTTTATGTCAACTTACACGACTCTTATTAAGTCCAAGAATTTTTTAGTTGGTTCTTAGATTTTCTAGGTAGACAGTCATATACTCTTCAAATGGAGTTTTGTTCCTTACTGCTCCATATGTATGTCTTCAATTTTTTTCTTGTCTTATTGCAATGGACAGGACTTCTGGGAACTATAATTTTCAATGTAATTACTAGCCAGTATCTTTTTTGTTATAATTTTAATGGGAATGGTTCCAGTGTTTCATTGTTTCCTTTTGTATTTTGGTAGATATTTGGGTTTTTTTTGTTTTTTGTTGTTTTAATCAAGTTAAAGATTTTTAGCTTAAGATTGTTTTCATAAATTGGAAACTTTTTTTCTTATATGTTTTTTAAAATACCTGTTGATAAAATAATATATTTTGTCTTCTTTAATACAGCAATTTAGATAATTTCTAATACATTTCTTAATACTGAACTATCTATGCATTCATGGGACAAATCCTAGCTAGTCTCCTAACTTTTTAAAGGGCCATATAGTAAATATTTTAGGTTTGAAGTCCACACGGCCTCTGTGGCAACTACTCAACTCTGACTTCGCAGCTGAAGTAAATGAATGGGTGTAAATATTCCAGTAACATTTTATTTACAAAAACAGCAGGCCAGTGCATAGGTTGTAGTTTGCTGACCCCTGTTCTTTATGGTGTTAACTATCTCTTTGTGAAAGACATGTAGCTACATGCCTTTTTAATTTAACGTAAGTTAGTTAAGCATGATTTTGGCCTTATGGTTGAGAGGGTATATTTTATCATGTAAAAAAGAGTCCTTATTTTCTATTTTATTATGGTCATGTGAGTCTGACATGTTAACCTTATAGCCCTTCTAATTTATATATTTACTTTATTGTGTCTAATAGATTGTAAGATCTCTGAGACCAGTAATACCTTTATTCTTTTTTATATCACTAGTACAGTGTATGGTAGGTCCTTATTAAACATTTTTTGAGTGAATGAATGAAGGACATATAAACAATATTTTAAGTAATTTTATTGAGACATAATTCAAATATTACAGATTGACCCATTTAAAGTATATACAACTCAGTGGTATTTAGTCTATTCACTAAAATTATGCACTCCATTATCTAACTTTAGAATATTTTCATTACCTCAAAAGAAACCCTATATTAGCAGTCATTCCCAGTTCCTCCCATCTCCCAGCCCTAATTTGTTTTCTGTTTCTATGGATTTGCCTTTTCTGAACATTTAATGTAACTAGGACAATACAATATGTGATTTTTTTTTGACTAGCTTCTTTCACCTAGCACAGTATTTTCAAGGGTCATCAATGTTACATGTATGCCAAATAATATTGCATTATATGGATATACCTCATTTTGTTTATCCATCTATTCATCAGCTGATGGATACTCATATTGTTTTTACTTTTGGATGAATACTTCTCGGTGAACATTTGTGTATAGGTTTTTATGTGGGCAAATATTTTCAGTTTTCTTGGGTATATACTTAGGAGGAATTGCTGGGTCATATGGTAACTCAATGTTTTACATTTCAAGGAACTGTAAAACTGTTTTCCATAGTTGTTGCACCATTTTACAATCCCTCTAGCAATATATGAGAGTTCCAGTTTTACCACATCCTTGTCACTGCTTGTCATTGTCTGTCTTTGATTTTAACCATCCTAGTGAGTGTGAAGTGGTATCTCATTTGGTTTTGATTTGTATTTACTAATGATGTTGAGCATCTTTTCATGTGCTTATGGACCATGTGTGTCTTTGGAGAAAATCTGTTCAAATCCTTTGCCCATTTTTAAGTTGGGTTATCTTTTTACTGTTGTGTTGTAAGAGTTCTTTTCATATTCTAGATACAAGTCTCTTACCAAGGTATATGATTTGCACATATTTTATCCTATTCTGTGGGTTGTCTTTTCACTTTCTTGATGTTGTCCCTTGAAGCACAAAGTTTAAATTTTGATGATTTCCATTTTATCTGTTTTTTTCTTTGGCCACTTATACTTCCTGTTGTATCTAAGAAACCATTGCCCAATCCAAGGTCAGAAAGATTTACTCCTATGTATGTATTCTAAGAATTTTATAGTTTTAGCTCTTGCATTTAGGTCTCTGATCCATTTTTAGTTCATTTTCGCATATGATATGAGGTGTTTGTGTGTGTGAAGGGGGTCCAGCTTCATTCTTTTGCATGTGGATATTTAGCTATCCCAACACCATTTGTTAAAAAGACTATGCTTTACCCGATTGAACTGTCCTGACACTAGTGAATATTTTTAATGTGATTTTTGTTTCTATCACAAAATATATTTCTGAGTCAAGCATACAGTAGTTATCATATATAACTTTCTGAAAACTCAACAATGAATATGATATGATCATAAGAGACTGCCATGATTCTCTTGCAAGTCCCCAAATGATGCACACTTTAGTTTGAAGATGAATGTGCTGTTACAGGGATCAGTGACATTCCCGGATGTGGCTGTGGACTTCACCCCAGAGGAGTGGCAGCTGCTTGACTGTGAGCAGAGAACCTTGTATTGGGATGTGATGTTGGAGAACTTTAGAAACCTCATCTCAGTGGGTAAGGACAGTGGGTGGTAACTCTTCAGGGGAACTAAGAATATACTCCTAGCACCCTGCCTTTAGGATTTGTGGAAGCTGTGGACATTCTGAAGCATTCCTGAGTTTGGCCCTGAATGTTAGTGGTCACAGATTCTTAATCCCCTTTGAGATGACGCATAAACAGATAGAGGGTTTATGCTTCTGCCTCCCCAATGGAGGAGAAGGGTCTTTTCTGTTCCAAAGCCTGTTTGTCATCCTTTCCAGGCCCTGAGACTCAATGAGACAGACCTGAATTGCGAGGTAGTCGTTTGTCTCTAGCACTTGGTCTCTAGTTCTGTGTTGTTTCCCATGAACAGGGGGCCCAGTTACCAAAACAAAAGCGATCTTCAAGGCAGAGCAAGGACAAGAGCCATGGATGAGGGAAGGGGCGAACCCACGTTGGCGCCATCCAGGTGAGTGAAAGAAAACCAGGCGGATGGGAGTCTTTGGAATTGAGATTCCAGTTGGTCAGTGAGGGACAGGTCCCTCTGAAGCAGCTCTTTCAGGAAGCCCTTCTTAAAAGCCACACAGCTTTGGAAGTGACTGGGTCCACTTGACATAACATCGTCAGATCTCCAGATGACACCTTCACTCACTCTGCTCGCATAGCCACTCTTTCTCTTTGCTCAGCTTTTGTATGGAGGGAGGTCCCTCTCCTCTCTGCCCTGGCTCCCTGCACTGCCTGTTCCATGGAGGTCCTTGCTTTGTTCTCTTAATTCCTAAAATCTTCATTCTTCTTTTTTTCCTCAACATGAGCACAGATCTTTTCCATACATCTGGTTCTCATAAGGTAGTCAGATTGTGTGGATTTGAAGTCTTACTCCACCAGTCACTGTCTAACCTAATTATTTTGTAGCACAACTTTTTTTATAAAGGAGGGATAATATTAATCCTTACTTCAGGTTTCTTTCAAAGATCACATGAGTTAATGCATGTAAAACCCTTCAGATAGTTGGCATATAGTACGTGTTCAGTATATGTTGGTTGTTTTTATTTCAAAACTTCTAGTAACATTATGCTTTCTAATTATTTCCCCTTTTCAAAAAAAAAAAAACCTCTTCCTTTTCTTGTAACATATACCCCACCTGTGTACCCCATCTTGCTCATCTTTAGTCTCACTGCTGACTTGGGGTATCTACCTTATAGTGCATCTCTCTGCTTCACTTGGTAATACTGATATTATTTGGAAATTCCCTAACATCATGTGAGTTGGTTCCTCACAAATCTGCCCTCACCCTCACTTACTGTTTCCCCACCATTGCTTCCTGCCTTTGTGTCCACCTTCAGAACTCCTCTCACCACAACTCCCTCAGAAACTGCATCCCTCTGAAGAACTAATGGGATTTTCTTTGTGCTATCTGTGGCATCTGTACGTCTCCAACTTCCCATTCCCATACTTTTCCCCACCTGGCCTTCATCTCAGTTTTTTCATAGTAAGCACTATTTAATATTCTTCAACCTTCACCTTTCTGTTTACATTATAATAAAGGATAATGGCTGGCCTGCTGCTTTGCAGTCTCCAAATCACTGTGGTAAGCAACTTAGCTTTTTTCTCTCAAGAGTGTCTCCTTACATACTTTTATGACTTATTACCTATGATTTAACTATTAGTTTATCCAAGACTGATTTAAAATAAAATTTTCTTTTTCCACAGAGCCTATAAAAGATCTATGTTTCAAATGATTAAGACACAAATTAAGTGTATTTTAGATCCCCTGGGTCCCCAACTTCTAATGACCTAAACCAAGTGAATTTTAACTCCTAATAGGGTGTCTAGGCTGTTCATGAGTCTATATTGCCAATTTCATCCTATTTTCTGGTTTATCTTAGATGTTCCTGCAAGATGTATCCAAATCATTACATGTTCCTTGTCACTCTCTTGACAAACACAAATTATTTCTTCATAACTTGTGATATTTAAAAGGATTTTAAGGCCCTCTTTAATGTGATCCCATTTTGTTTGCCCGGAATAGTCCATCTTTTCCTTATGCCATGGCAGTTGGGCTCTTTAGTGAACTTTGTACATGATTTTCTTCTGTGCATCAGCTCTTTTGATGCTGATGTGCTCTACCTAACGAAGCCCAGCATGCTAGTAAGTCTAACTTCAGTCTTTTCCTCTTTCATGGTAACTCCAGCCTAGATTAATCTCTACCTTCTTGGAACCTCCATCCTAGCCCTCCTATGACTCTATCATGAACTTGACATATATTCTCTTAGGTTTTTTTTTTAATCCTGTGGCTTATAAGGCATGTTTTCTTGTGATAATGCCCTGAAGAGAAAGCCCTGTACCATTTTTTGTTTTTACACTATTTCTGAGCACACAACAGATATTTAATGAACATTTCGTTAATTCACTGTTGTAAAGTCAGGCATTGTGGAGTGTTTCTTATTCTTTCAATGAGGCTTTTTTATGATTCCTGAGAAGGATTCAAAGAAAGCAAAAAAAAAAAAAAAAAAAACCAACCACAACCCCAAAACAAAAAACAGCCCATTACCATTTTCCAGGTGTGTAAATTGTAGTTGAAAGGCAAAACAGCCATATACAACATTTTAAAGTTTTAGGATTGTGGAATATTTGTTCAATGCACAATAACATTGCCGTTTTTGTTCTAGTTAATTGCCAGAATGAATGGTTTTGGGGAGCAGTGGTGACTCTCTTGGGAATTCAGAGGAAAAGGAGCTTAAAGTTTAAAGTATACAAAGATTAGAGGAGTCTTTTTTTGAGATCATGGAACAATGGCTCCTCCCTAAAGAATATCTAAGAACCAGATAGGATGAGAGGGGGTGAGGTAGGGCATGTGAAGGTGGGGAAGAGACATGAGCAAAATATTATAGTTATTTAGAGTCTAGAATTCTTGGAACAGAAGGTATTTGTTCAGGATGAGAAGAATGTGTACTTAGATACCATAAGTGAATTCATTATAATGTATAGTTTTGTTCACCAGGCTGAGTGCCTTGGATTTTTCAGTTGGTTCCTGCTAGTTGAGGTAACACAGGATGCTGCTTCCCATTAGTTGAAGTAGAGAAGAAAGAAGACAGGAACCCCAATCCCCATAAAGAAATGCACACTAATGGCTATAGCCCACTACTCGGGGCAGCTCCACAGAGAAGAATGAGGCATGGAGCAAGAAGTTGGGGTGTAGTACTAACATTCCACAAGGAGGGAAACTCAGGAATGGGGAATATAACCCCTTTTCCCTAGTTTTTTTTTTAAAGTTTATTTATTTAAGCAATCTCTGCACCCCGTGTGGGGCTTGAACTCATGACCTTGAGATCAAGAGCCTCATGCTCCTCTCACTGAGCAAGCCAGGTGTCCCCCCTTTTTAATGGAGAAATGGATTGGAGATTTTTAGGGTTTTGAGGTTAGGAATGAAAAAAATGTGACTTCAGGTTAAAAAGTGACTTCAGCAGCTTTCTGAGGACTAGTTTGTTAGGTAAATTGAAAGAAAACGTAAAAACAGTACTTGTCAAATACAAATATGACAGATGGTCATGTATAGAACCCCCCCCCAAAAAAAGAAATGCAGCCAGAATAAAAGCAATAGCAAGCAGGCAGAATCTGTGCCTGGACTTACAAGTACATGGGAGAATGAATCCCAGCTGTTGCAGAGTTAGAGCCCTGTCCGTAGACATGTCTCACTTGTGATATGGATGGAGTTAGAGGACTGGAAATATAAGAATGTTCCTGAAGGTAACTGCCATTGTGCCAGGTGATTAAGAGGAAAAAGAGATGTGAATGAGGGAAGTGGGGAGCCCTCCCATTAGGGTAATCTAGGACTGGAGTAGTGAGGATTCTAGATCTGCCACCTCCAGATCTAGTTTTTCCTCATATCTTCCCTTAGCTCCTAGTATCTTGTTCTTTGGGTCACCTCATCCATTTCAGATCTCCTCAGTGGGCTCTCTTCATGTGAGACAACCAGGCCTCAATGTTTGTACACTATTCACTGTAACTTGTGCCTATTTCACAATCTTTCCATAGGTCACAAGTTAAGCCATCTATTCTCATTATTGTCATTCATCTGCTCCCATTTCCTCTTCAGCAGTTGTATTCTTAAAGCTCAGGAGGGAAGCAAATACAGGATTTGTTTCAGAATTAGATACTAGATTTGAAATAATGTTTCTTTCCATAACTGGTATGGAAAAAATTAACAGAGCCATGTTTTATTGTACTCCTTTTTAGAAGCTGATTGCCTACTTGTTGATGAATCAGAGAAGCACCAGGAAAGCAAAGACAATTTTTTAAATTCAGTTTTGTTCACATTCAATAAAATTCTGACTGTGGAGAGACTCCATGGTTATAACATGAGCACAAGTCTTAATCCTACAAGAAAAAAATCATATAAATGTAAATCATATGGGAAGAGTTTGCAACCTACTTTAGATTTACTTAATTATAATAGATGTTATACTGAAGAAAACTCATATGAATGCACTGAATGTGGGAAAGCCTTCAAAAAGAAGTTTCATTTCATTAGACATGAAAAAAATCATACAAGAAAAAAACCCTTTGAATGCAATGACTGTGGGAAAGCCTACAGCAGGAAGGCTCACCTTGCAACTCATCAGAAAATCCATAATGGAGAGAGACCCTTTGTGTGCAATGATTGTGGGAAAGCGTTTATGCATAAAGCACAACTGGTGGTCCACCAGAGACTCCACACGGGAGAGAAACCTTACGAATGCCATCAGTGCGGGAAGTCATTCACTTGGAACTCCTCCTTTACCCAACATGTGAAATCGCATACACTTGAGAACTCGTTTGAATGTAAGGAATGTGGGAAAACCTTCAGGTATAGCTCATCCCTTTATAAACATTCTAGATTTCATACAGGAGAGAAACCCTACCGATGTATTGTATGTGGCAAAGCTTTCGGTAACACGTCTGTGCTTGTTACGCATCAAAGAATTCATACAGGAGAGAAACCATATGGGTGTATCGAATGTGGCAAAGCCTTCATCAAGAAGTCACATCTGCTTAGACATCAGATAACTCATACAGGAGAGAAGCCCTATGAATGTAATAGATGTGGGAAAGCATTTTCCCAGAAGTCAAATCTTATCGTACATCAGAAAATTCATACATAATATTCATGTTGAATATGACAAAGCCTTAAATACTAGATAAATCTTATTAAAACAGAATTCATGGTGAGAAATCCACCAATTCAAATGGATTTGGAAGAGTAGATTCCCATAAAAAAGAATCAATGCCAATCATGTTCTGGAAGTGATAATAAAGTTTTTACAGAAAAAGTTCACAGAAAACATTGATTTATAAGTAATAGAGCATAGAGCTTAGAAAGTGAGCATAAATTAATCAAGGAATCAGTGAAAACACTATCTCTGATTTTTATTTTTATAACATAGAATTATACAAGTATGAGTATAAAATATGTTTATGTATTACATTAAATTATATCAATTAAAATGAAGTACATATCATTTTTTCTTCAAATTCTAACAACATACAAGTGGAAAAAAATGGTCTAATATGAAATATGAATTTCAGTAATATTTTTATATTTTTATCCATTTGCTGGCACTTTTAATGGGTAAGGCAGTGTTACTGATCTGTCTCCTCTTTAGTTATAAAACTTGTTATAAAGATGTTTTCCTATGTATGTAAACAGCAAAACAACCAAGGCACCATTTGAGAGGGAACAGCAGTTGTATTCCGTATTACAGTAAGTATTCAGTTGAGGAGAATAAGTATTTAAATAAGTTTGTAAATAAAACATTTGCACTTCAAATATTCCTATTCTTTTTCATTGGTGTATCTTATATAGATACTCACATAAGATGTGAGTGTGGCTCAAGTAGTGTCTATCACGGGTACCATCTGTATTTGATTTTAATTAGTAGGGTGTCATACTTTGCAACTTTTGGGGAGTGAGTTTTTGGGTCTGTATTTGTTTTAAGAGATCAAAACAGGTTTAGTGCCCTTGTGACAGCATAGGCAGCATTAAGTTGAAAAGAGCAAGTTTCTCTGCTTAGCAACTTGAATCTGGAATGTGATATTATGTAAGTTACACATATTCCCTTAAAAGGACAAACCACCCATTATTTAGGCTAGAGTTTTTATTGCTGTCCATAGTGTCCTTGCTAATGTCAAAAACCTTTATGCCTTCTTGAATGGTGACAAAACAACCTGAACCTAAATTTGGATATCAAGCCTTTTCAAGTTTAAGCTGAGTTACAACTCTGTTGCATTGTTTTTCTTCCATTAGTCATCTTTTTTGAAGAGTAATCTTGTGTAATGACTATAAATGAATGATAGACATTATGACTAGAACTTAAGGAACTAAATTAAATCTTGTCCTCTGACAAAAATTCTTTGCTTGACCAACCTTTAGTCAGGCTCCCAAACCTCCTAGGCCTTCTCTTCTGTGCACTTCCTTGTAAAATCTAGTTTTAGCAAGAATCTCACTAAATCAGTTTAACCAGAATTCCCTACCCTTGAGATCTGATCTGGTTCCTCACCCTCTACAGTCCATCAGGTGAGGTCTGATCACCCTGGCCTTTCTTCAGCAAGATTCCTGTTAGGTCAAGGGCCTGGCTTCGGTTCAGGCCATGATCTCAGGGTCCTGGGATTGAGCCCTGTGTCAGGCTCCCTGCTCAGCGGGGAGTCTGCTTCTCCCTCTCTCCCTGCTCATGGTCACGTGCTCTCTCTCTCTCTCTCCCTCCCTCCCTCCCTCCCTCCCACGTGCATGTTCTCTCTCAAACAAACAAACTTAAAAAAAGGAAAGGAGTCCTTTTAGGTCAATTTAGCCAGAACCTTCCTTACCTCTGATGTTTTCTCTTAGTAATTTTCCATCCATTGACCACCAACCCTCTCCTCCCCACTCCTTTGCTATAAATTCCCACTTGCCCATGCTGTATTCACAGTTGAGCCCAATCTCTCTCCCCAACTAAAATCCCATTACAGTGGTCCTTATACCTATCTGAATAAGGTCTGCCTTGCCATCTTTAACAAGTGTCCTTGAATGGCTTCTTTCTTCAACAATCCCCAAGTATTTCAGGAGGCTACATGCTGGTTTCACTCTTGGAGTTCCCAAAATTTCCAGAACCTCTTTCTTTTGGAATTGTCCTCAGAATCAGTTTGACAGCCATGCAGGAAATTCTTTAGGTATTTATAGTCACAGGACTTGCCTTTTTCTCAGCTCAACTGTTTTCTCATTTCCTATATGAAATCCTCATTTCATCCTACTTAGTTCTGCCATTCCGTCCTATCTCCCTTTCCCAAACCTGTGCCTCTCATCTGAGAAATGCCAAACTACTTAAGTCTACAGGAAGAGAAGGAGCAGGGGGCCCTACTGTTGCCAGCATGAGCGAGGCCCCTTGAAAGAGCAGCGGTGTAGGTCAAGGTGGCAAGAAGTGTGCACTGGTCTGCTCTGGAAATAAGGGAGTAAAAGAAGGGAGTTTTGATTGTAATATATCAGGGAGCATGTAATCTGGGTTTCATGAATTATTTTGCTCCCTCCTTTAAGTGGAAGTAGGAATACAAGTAGAAGATAAAATTATTTCCAGTACTGGGCAAATATAAACTCCTTCCTAGAGAGCTTTTGTCGCTGACCGCATTGTCTTGCCCTGTACAAGATTTTGGCAAGAAGAAAAACAAAACTATGCTTGGATCCATCCAAACATCTTGGATTCCCAGAACTCCCTAGTCTATTTGTGCTCTGTGGCTGAAACAGAGCATTTAGGTGAGAAATCCCTTGATTTTTCCCACCTCTAAGAGTTTGTCATACCTTGATATTTTCTTTTCTCACTCTATAAAAAGATCACTCAAAAACCTTCTTTCTCTTTTATTTATACATGGATGGTGGATTGGTATTTTTCCCCCAATGAAACTTCATTTTTCTGATTATATCATATATGCTAATTTTTAAGAATTAAATACAAAAATGTAATGAAAAGAAGAAAAAAGTGGAAAAGGGAAATCTGAGTTTAAGAGTCCTCATGTTCTAGAAACAGAACATTTAGGCCTTCTAAGATGTGAAAAACTTTAAGGGAAACTAGAAAGCATAGAAATAGAATGTATCTAGAGAGGAATAATGAAAACTTAATAAATCCAACAATGATCAGGAAAGATGAAAGGTGCAGAAAAAAGGTAAATAGAAAGTAAACAAAAAAGGCATAAATAAATAATAGCCTATCAATAATAACATTAACTGCAAATGAGTTAAACTCACCTGTGAAGAATAATTGCCATTATGATTTTTCCAGAAGCACTTAAATCTTTTGTTTTTATTTTATTTTTTTATTTGGAGGGGAGGGGCAGATGGAGAGGAAGAATCTTAAGCAGGCTCCATGCCCAGTGCAGAGCCTGATGCAGGGCCGATCTCACAACCCTGAGATCATGACTTGAAAGGGAATCAAGAGTTGAATGCTTACCCGAATGAGCCACCCAGGTGCCCCATTCTTTTAATCATCTCCTTTGCAAACTAAAAATAACTAATTTCCAGTGAGCTAGAGCATACCACTGGACACTTCTTGCCACCTTAACCCACTCAGTTGCCCTTCACTTGCAACAGCCCTGTACATATTTCTCATTGTCTTTTTAAAAATTATTTATTTATTTGTCACACAAAGAGAGAAAGAGACAGACAGACAGCACAAGCAGGGGGAGCGGCAGACAGAGGGAGAAGCAGGCTCCCTGCTGAGAAAGGAGCCTGATGTGAGACTCAATCCCAGGGTCCTGGGATCATGATCTGAGCCAAAGGCAGATGCTCAACCGACCGAGCCATCCAGGTGTCCCTCACTTCTTGTTGTCTTAAGTACACTTCGGAGTTTCTTGGATGAAGGACAGGAGGTGGGAGAGGAGTTTCAGCACCAGTATTGTATACTTTCTGTACCGTGTTCAAAATTATTTAAATTGCTTCATTTCTTTGCATGTTTATTATTGATTTAATATGCAATTTGGTTCATTTTCTTCTGTTGGCATTTAATTTTAGGGTTTTGTTTTTTTCTTCTTTAATTTACTTTTTACTTTAAGTAATGGCAATTTTCAAACATGCACATAAATGGAGGGAATAGTATAATGAATTCCCACACATGTACCTGCTTTCTACTTCAACAATCAGCAATTCAAGGCCAATCTTGTTTCTTTTTTTTTTTCCACACAAGTAGTTAAGGCTTTCTTTTTTCTTTAATTTTTTATTGTTATGTTAATCACCATACATTACATCATTAGTTTTTGATGTAGTGTTCCATGATTCATTGTTTGTGCATAACACACAGTGCTCCATACATAACGTGCCCTCTTTAATACCCATCACCAGGCTAACCCATCCCCCCACCCCCATCCCCTCT